CATACATACATACATACATACATAACATAATTTTAGAAAGTGAAATCGGATACGAGAGTGATTTTATATATATTTATATATCGTAATTATTATAAGTTATTTGGAAAAATCCTGTTTTACATAGACTTTACGTAACAATTGGACCGAATGCAACTAATCCAACTTATTTGACATATTTTATAGTTTTATATAGCATTGAATTTTAGCAAAAATTATATATATATATATATATATATATATGTGTGTGTGTGTGTGTGTGTGTGTGTGTGTTTAACAATAATCGACAGCATGCAGTCGAAACATGTAGTGGCAAGGAATAATAAATAACTGTAAGTTTCTTATTGCACGACTGTCAAGACTGTTGGTATAGTATATATATATATTTTCAGGTGTTAATGATTAGACACTGGGTGTGAATTGAAAACTGGATTTACTGAACGCTTATAACCCTTAACTAAAAATATCTATAACAACCTCACTAATTTATACTCTATAGACCACTACAACTACAGCACATATAATGTTTTCTGTTTGTTCACCAATCGTTGCTAGGTAGCGGCTGAAAACAACGCAATTCAAGACTGACTACTAACCGCCGACTCCGATCTCCGACTGAATAATTTCAGAGTCACAGTCATATTACAACCGACGGTAAGTCGGCCAGTCTGTCTTGCTGTCAAACCCAGTCTGGAGCCCAAGACCAGATTTTTGTTACTGTGAGACAGCTGCGGGGTTGTTGTGGGCGCCCTCCCTAACGGGAGGACGGGTCTGTCGTTTACAGTTGCTACTAGCCCGTGCCAGCGTAGTCATTCTCGGGTTCGAGTCCCGAGGGACTCATTACCATATTTTACTGTCTCAGATTCTAGACTCCTTCAACCTATAGGGCCAGGTCCCCGTATTTACACCCTCAAGAACAGGGTGGTCCAGTTATACCCCCGGGTACTGTGTTCTCTTTATGTCGCCTCCTACGACTCGCGGGGCTAGTGTTTTTAGACATTCTAGAAGAAAAGTAAACATATGTAGACGTACGCATAAGTTTCGTGCTGAACTCTATCATTGCTTTAAAAAATAAAAAAATCGGATTTTAATGTAGCATGAACTAAACCGAAACTCTCTAATTTAATTCACTTAAATATAATATTCTGTTCATACAATTAAAACATTTGTTTTCATGTAGAACTATTTATTCTTGCTGTGAAGGAGAATAGTAGATTTCGACTGCACGATCCAATATATTTAATGATATATATGATTAAATATTATTATTATTTTTGGAGGGTGTGGGTTTCCCCATGCACCGCGACTAGTAGTCTATTGTACGTCCCCCTTTAATTTATACTGTCGCCATAACCTTCCAGTACTGGTGCTCGCTATCAGCCCCATTCTGCCAGCGAGGCCGGCCCTCTTCTGGCACTGATGCCCGGTGCTTCCCCATCTACTGGAGGCATTGGAAACCACTTGGGCGGAAAACTTTGCCTAATTTTGCTCAGAGGTCTCATAGAGACATGAGAATCTTTTACGTGCCGTAAATCTACGACACGGGACACACGGCTTAAAGTCCCTCCCGGAGGACTTATTCTCTGATTTTTTTTCGCCCTTAAATATTCCACGACCTCCGCTGGGTTTGAACCTGCGTACCTTGAGTCATGTGGTGGGAATGTTACCCCTAGACTACGGAGGCCGCTTTGATTAAATATTACATTCAGGTCTAAAAATTCAGTTTGAATTACATTTCGTTTATTATTAAGGATAACAAACTTAGTCAAATTTGGTTGAATGTATGAGTTAGAATATGTAAGAATAACATCATATTATAATTATCTAGAAAACCGCAAGACTTATTGAAAAATGTATTTGGATATAAAAATGCGATTTCGTTTACGGTAGAAATTTTTGTTCGAAATATTTTTGCTCTTATAACTATTTTGAGAGATATGCACAGAAACGCACATGTGTCTTCGAGGAAAATGACCGTTACTTTTATTCGACTTTGACCAAAGTTAAAATGTTGCGACTAATTTTTGTAACACTTCCCAGTACCGCATTTCATGGAAATCCATTCAACGGTTCTCCATTTACGTCACGCGTATGGAGAGAAAGACTGACTGACTCCTCGGGATTCCAAACTCCGCCTAAAAGTGAATAACGGATGTTAAATGTTGAAACTGCTTTTATAGGTATTGAAATCCCATTCAATGTGTGCCAGACTGGCCGTCATTAGGCGTATGCAACAAATTAGACTTGAGCAGAATATTATTTATGTATTATACTGTGACGTGTTGCGCTATGGACGACACCCCCTCCCTCCCCAGCGGTGACGTAACACGGGATGCCGCCGTTGCTACTCAGCAGTAAAGAACACCCGACAGCGTTGCTAGGCTGTCGGCAAACACGGCGTCAGACAACAATGGTGCCTATTACATAACTGTTTCCTGTGTTGTCCGTAACGGGGCTAAATAAGGAGCAGCGAAGACTATTCAAGTTAGTTACGAGTTGGCCAGTGACGAGTTACGAGTTGACCAGGTTAGAGTATGCAGTCTAGTATTTGTAATACTGCAGATAGCAGTAGTTGTGAGATTGTAAACTTTGTGATTGTATGAGCGAGTGTGGAATAAAATTCGCTATATCCAATAAGGCGTGAAGTTATTTGTCGCGTTATACAACCAACACATTCAATCCTTTTTCAACGACCCAGTTGATTCTGCCTCATAATCTGCCTTCGGCAGATGAGGTTAAGGTATTGTGGAATATCAGTTGTAAGAATATTGCACACGACAGCCGATTGGCTATAATGAAGTAAAGCTAGGGTTACTTGGTACAAAACACGAAATAGCTTCAAAATTATTGATTATAATATAATTGTTGTGCTTTTGGATATTATCCGTTATTCATTCATAGGTACTAACTCCTGAACCATCTGAATAGCTTTTTTACCTGAAGACGGAGACAAAATCCAATCTCCGAAATGCTGTTTGAAATAAAAAACATGACGATGGATACTGTCCAAGAACACAATAATTTTATTAATATACCATCGTTACGAACTTTTACATCTTATTTGAAGGAAATAAAGTGGTCTTATTTTTCACCGACACAGACAACTAAAATTTAACTTCTCTCAGGCTGAATATATTTTGTTAAACTTGCGTGAACTACACCGCCACAACTGACATGACTGTGTCTGAGTGACAGATATACTCCAGTACCCAACTCAGTACTCCGCAGTTCCCGAATATCTTCTACTGAGTGCTTCTGAAACTACAGCACTGGTGCGCCTAGTTGTGCCAACGCAGCTTGCCAGGCCTACCAGAAGTTCTCATTCTTGTCAACAATCCCATCTCGGATTGTTACCTGATGACATTATTATTATTTATATTCGATTTAGGATGTGTCTCTACATATGACATATGATAAAAATGTGGTCACTGTTCATTCATGTTCCATCCGAAATTTCTTTCCGTGAGTGTTCGTATCCTTACTTAACTGTTTTAAGGAGTATGAAGCAAAAACTGTTTAGAGACATCCAAGTAGCATCTATTCACGTCATGAGGATGAAATGTCAGGTTATATTTCATAAAACTCCACTTTAACTATACTTAATGTATGTGACATTGTAAGCCCATATCGTCTAAAATTAAAAGATCCCAAATGTTTTAGTTCACACTGCCTACTAAATATTTTATTAGCATCTTGTAGGAAGTCGTAAGGATGAAATGTGCGAAAGTCGTTTCAATTTTGTGTTGACTACATGAACTCTGTGAGAGGGATCTATAAATAGAAAACAACATCTCTTTAATTGTTTAAACGAGAAAGAAAAAAGAACTTACTGTTCAAGGGGGTGTCTCCTGTTGTATGTGAAGTGGACAAAACCTTGAATTGTTGTGTTACGAAGTACTTCTGTGGCATAATCAAGCCAGATGCTCTTCCATGACCGTGGGATAATGTATTCGCCATCAGAAGCGTTGGGTTTGAGTCTCAACCTCCTGGTCCTTCTTATTGTTCTGTAATAACTGTAATGAACGTGCATCTTCACATTCATCTGGCTTCTGTCCGCAACTGGAACATATTAGTCATATTTAACGTACCGGTTTGGACATTATTGACCCATTAAAGTAAATAATATCTGTCGTGTTGCATGTTCGGATGCGTTGAGGTAGATATGGTTGCAGGTAGTGAAATAATATATTCAGTATTAAAATGAACTATGACAAATCTAGATAACATTGTGTAGTGGTTTCCTACGTGCTGTGTGAGTCAGCATTCCTCCACATGCTACGCTTTAGTAATATTACTGATGCTAATCTGCAATATCATTGCGATGCGGTGCCTACTGAGGACTCTGCTTGAATAAGGCCAAAGGTCAAAAAAGTGTTTGCGAGGCCAAATAGATATGGACGGATTTTGCTCAGAGAAATCTGATAGAACTCTGTTTATTTTCTAGATACAAGAGGCGTCAGGGAGAAATGTATGGACAGATAAGGTTTAAGCAGGTATTTATTATTACGAAATTATTATTTTTATTACATTAAGCACAAATATTATGAATAATAATTAAATAATAACAGTAAATAATAATAATAATATGTTAGCGTCTGACAATAAAACGTCGGGACGTTCTTGAGTAGCTGAGAGACTGGCAGCTTCTCAAGAAGGACTCAGCTCCATGAAGTATTGTATTATATTTAAGCATCCTGTTGCACTCTACACTTCTATGTGTATAATATAAATACCGTCGTAAATTCAACAAAGACACAACAATGACAATGGAGAAAGATGGTGTTTTTAAATTTTAATTACATGCAGTGTGACAGCTACGTAAGTGAAATACACCTGATGATGGCCCGTTACGACCGAAACATGTAGTGTGAAAAAAGAAAGATAAAGAACTACAATAACTTGTTGCATTTACGACTGTATTTATATTATACATATATCCACGAAGTAAGCAAAAAGCAGGCAAGCATCGAGAATGACACAGATAGGAAAAATACAGCAATACGTAGATCTAAGGAAGTAGAGTGCAGTAAGAGCTGTGAACAGAATATGAAGGGCAGCTATGCTCAAAGTGAAAACCCAGGGAACCTAACGAAGAAAAATTCTTACGTTGAATAAAGAGTGATTCAAGATGGCAAAGAAATCAACAAGTGAAATGCAGTTTTGTCAACATCAGCAGCAGAAGAACGTCATATAATTTGTTAGTTAGGAATTACACTCTAATCTGCAAAATAATAATAATACAATATTATTTCCATTTATTATTATTACTATTTACTACTATTATTATTGCTATATTTATATTAAATATTATTATATTATGTTAATAATAAGACCGCGCCATAGCTCAAGCGGTTAGTCGCTGGCTTCTCACCGCGGCGGTCCGGGTTCGATCCCGGGTCTGGTCAAGTGGGATTTGTGGTAGACAAAGTGGCGCTGGGGCTGGATTTCCCCGAGTATATCGGTTTCTCCTGCCAATCTTCATTTCACTTAATTCTCCATCATCATAATCACCCGGGGCAGGTACATTAGGCCAAGCAGTGGCCGCCGTGCCGAGTGGACCCAGCTGGACTCCACCCACCACTAAGCGAAAAATGTTAATAATAACGATTATTGTGATGTATTAATATCCGTATTGTCACGAGTATTAAGAATCCATGATTCCATTACATGTAACATCACAGTTCAATGTGCAAGGTGACGAACCGAAAGGCATTGGCCAGTAGAACCAAAGTAGATACGTGTACGTATATGGCTGAAGAAGAATGCCTTCCAATGCGTACTGCAACGGCCGCAGCGAAGATTGAAGTAAACATTGGTTTACATCTATGCTACTATATTGCCTCTGAGATTAGCAGTTTAGTGCCACGAACTAGCTTCATGTTGCTGATGCTTATGTAAAGCGTTGCACGAAGAACACGATCATCTTTCATTTTGATTAAATTTTGACTCTAAGGTTTTAACTGTTGTAATACATGGCACAATAGTTCCGTAAATTTAACTTCATTTCTAAGTTACTTTGTGGGTTGCAAGGTAATATTTTTGTTCCTTAAATAAGTGGAGCGGAGTGTTCTTTGAGAAAGTAGTAGTTGTGTAACCGCTCACTTCCTTGGGCCCTTTACGTTGGTCGCCACTCTCTCACCGCTCAGTTTCTTTGGGTTCTGTTTAGTGTTCTGTAGAGCTGAGTTCCTATCCCGGGTCTTATACGGGTCTGGCTCGGGCAGGGCAGGAAGAACCTTTCTACTTCAATCACACACACACACTTTAGACCGTTGCACTTAATGGTCATTTAATCCCTTCCAGCATACTGAATACAACTGAATTTATTAATACATTTAATTTGGACTTTACTTATACTACTTTACGGAAGGGCCGTAGTTGTAAATTTTGTGTCCGACTTAGCCGAAAGTTGTGTCAAGACTTCTCGAGGTGGAATTGCCATCTATCTGAATTCTAAGGTCCACGAACCCCAGACTCCAAGAGAAATCCACTCCTCCACTTCTGCCATTGGTTAAGTTTTCAAACTAGGAGGTTCCATAAATTTTGAATTCCCAAGCATATTGCTCTGCTATGTGATTCTGGCAGATGCTGACCTGACGCTAAGGTCGACAGCCCCTTGATGCCTTACGATCAGGGTGTGAGGCTCCGGCCGTCCCACTTCTAAGTTATCGCTGTCCCAAGCTGTCAGCTCTCATTTTCTCAAAGCCTTTCCGACTTTGCTGAAACTGCCAGGAATCCAGGAAATTACCAGATGTTCCTTCCTGTCCACATATCGAAACTTGAACTATGTCCCTTCCGCGTGTAAGAGCTGGCTATCTGCCGGATCTCTTTCTTTGTGATTTTGTAATCTAAGTTAATACATATTTAATTAATGCACAACAGTCCTCCAGTCAGAATGAACGGTTACAACCTCCCAAGCGAATATTTGTTCTGTAATGTAATGTAATGTAACGAAAAAGATTCGTTTTCACTGCCGCCCTTAACCTACTTTAAGTAATACAAACAAATGGAATAACTTGGGATCAGTCTGTTGTCTACAATGACAATGAACCCTTTGATTTCTACTAACACTTACTACTAGGCTACAAAAAAATTTTTTTTTGCTAAATACTAAAATTAGTTAGTGGTACAATCAAGTACATAGGTACACAAACTTTGGTAAATTTCTGTCTCTCTGTTCATACACTTCTATGCTTTCATCACTGTAATTTCACTGCACAACACTGCACTTCTCAACGTATCTCTTCACTTGCTTTGCCCTTGGCTGCTTATCATTTCTGCCTAGATTGCTACCTGGCAACCGCTAGGAGATCAATTTAGACTTTTTATTTAAAGTTAATCCTGTGCCAGTCCTTTTAACTGGACGTAAACTTAATATCCTACCTTCTTTTTCTCTCCCTCTCTCTCTCTGTCTCTCTCTTTTTTTGGGGGGGGTTCTCTTTCAGGTCTGGTTTAGTGACCTACTTTCAGTTTAGGATGAATTCCGACCTGCATTCGCTTCCCTTACTTTCTCTATACATTTCAGTTTCACTCCCTTACAATAAAGCTTTATTTAGACTAACTTGTTTACAACGTTGATGTACAATCACTCATTCACACAGGCGCTCTGACTGTCTTTAGTTATTCTGTTAGTGCAATGCCTTCTGACTCTTTCAAATTATAATTTGTAAGTAGGTAACCGAATCATCTCCTTGCGATTACAGTTTGCTTACTTTCATCCAAGAAATCCCCAAATTTCTAGTTAAGTGGTACCCTATTTTTTTTTCCACGCGAACTCTACTTTCTGCAATCGACATTCAAGAGTTTGTCTAGACATTTTTTTTTTGACTACCTCTCCTCAAGTCTGCCAATAACTGTCCAGATGAATCTGATGTTCTAGAAAGGACCTTGAGTGCACCAGAATGTCTTCTATGTAGGAAACAACATATCCCTCGGTTCCACCTCCTAACGCTAATTTCAATGCTCGGATAAAAGCCGGCAAGGAATTCCTAAAACCGTATGGGACTCTCTTAAACTGGTAAACTGTGGAGTCGAATAAGAAAGCAGTGTACTTCCTTGAATCCTTATCTAATTCTACCTGATGATAGGCGGAGCTGAGATCTAGTGACGTCATATATCTGGCGCCGTCGAATTTCTGCAACAACTCATGCAATGGAGGCGTACGTTCTCTATCTGGCACTGTATTCTGGTTGATTTTTCGGGCGTCTAGACAAATTCTAATCTTCTTCCCTTCTCGCTGAACTATGGTCAGAGGGTTTAAGAAGGGTGAGCTACTAGCTTCCAAGATGCCGTCCTTTAACATCTGCTCTATTTGCAGTCTGACTGCTGGTCTCAGGGCAAAGGCAATGGGTCTGTTGTACCCAACTATAGGCCTGTCAGCTTCCACTTGAAATTTGTAGCTAAATAAATTACAAACTCCGGGTTTAGACGTGAAGCTGCCTATATACTTTACTAATACTTTATATAATTCCTTTTTCTGTATGATATTAATGTTAGCAACCTGCTCTATCAGGGCGGATAAGTCGGCCTTCAGCAGCGACCTCTGGCCAGAAAAATCCTGTTCGGAAGTAGGTATATGGATTCGGGTTGGCGGTTCACTCTCCACACGACTTAGCAGTAATTCTTTATTTCGGGCGGCGTCCTTATGATAACAGCCATCACAGCGGCTTTCTGCTTCTGCAGTTTTATATCTATTCAGACTTCTCTCATCTAATTGTTTTACACTACTGTCAACCCCAGACCTATTCACTATCACTCTTCTAAGATCGAGTTTGTTTGTGAACTCTGCTGCTCCAACCGATCTTCTAGCCCTGTACTAACTACTTGTATGTTTTCCTTGATGGCTACTAGCTCGGCTTCCGTGTCTTTCTGTACCTGACTGATTAAGTGTGAGCATTTCCTGACTTCAGAATGCAGCCTCTCCGAAAATTCCTTGTTAAGTTTTTGATTTTCTAATTCCAATCTTTTTGTTAGTTTTTCTGTTTCTGACTTTATATCTGTGCGAACACTTTCCTGAAGTTGCGAATTACGGGCTCTACCTTGCTTTGGAGGGCTTTATTGCTTTCTAATACATTGTTCTGAAGGGCTTGCATCTGCTTGTTACTATACTTAACAGCTGACAGCAAGCTGGCAAAGAGATTACGCAAATCATTAAGGTTGGTTATTGAAATTTCGGACGGAGGACCCTCCATAACTTCGACAAAGTCACTCTGACCTAACCCAGTCTCTGTCACTTCTGCATTAAGGGTTTCTGACTCTGGTACCTGCATAGTGACGGTTTCGAGCCCTTCAAGCCGTTCGTCCACTGCCTAATACTTCTGACTGCTCACTAGGCCGATCGCCGTCACTCTCCCCTGCCGAGAACTCTACACCATCTTCCTTCAGTGCTACGGTGCGGCTGCTGAGCGTGCGGTTAGCCATCTCCACCTGAACACTAACCTTTATGTTGTTGATGTCCTGCGGCGTCCATAGGCTGTATTGTAGTAGCTGAAATGGTGGCTTTCGGCTCCGTCGTCCTTGACCTTTCTCCAGCTAAGTGCGGATTGTACCTTGTAGTTGTTGCCGTAGGGGTCTTGGGTGTGTAGTTCGTTCCTCTCTGCTGAGTCCTGCCTTGGCTCAGACGTCGAGCCCCATGTTGGGCGCCACTTGCTGTGTAACCGCTCACTTCTTTGGGCCCTTTACGTTGGTCGCCACTCTCTCACCGCTCAGTTTCTTTGGGTTCTGTTTAGTATTCTGTAGAGCTGAGTTCCTATCCCGGGTCTTATACGGGTCTGGCTCGGGCAGGGCAGGAAGAACCTTTCTACTTCAATCACACACACACACTTTAGACCGTTGCACTTAATGGTCATTTAATCCCTTCCAGCATACTGAATACAACTGAATTTATTAATACATTTAATTTGGACTTTACTTATACTACTTTACGGAAGGGCCGTAGTTGTAAATTTTGTGTCCGACTTAGCCGAAAGTTGTGTCAAGACTTCTCGAGGTGGAATTGCCATCTATCTGAATTCTGAGGTCCACGAACCCCAGACTCCAAGAGAAATCCACTCCTCCACTTCTGCCGTTGGTTAAGTTTTCAAAATAGGAGGTTCCCTAAATTTTGAATTCCCAATCATGGTGCTCTGCTATGTGATTCTGGCAGATGCTGACCTGACGCTAAGGTCGACAGCCCCTTGATGCCTTACGATCAGGGTGTGAGGCTCCGGCCGTCCCACTCCTAAGTTATCGCTGTCCCAAGCTGTCAGCTCTCATTTTCTCAAAGCCTTTCCGACTTTGCTGAAACTGCCAGGATTCCAGGAAATTACCAGATGTTCCTTCCTGTCCACATATCGAAACTTGAACTATGTCCCTTCCGCGTGTAAGAGCTGGCTATCTGCCGGATCTCTTTCTTTGTGATTTTGTAATCTAAGTTAATACAAATTTAATTTACACACAACAGTCCTTCAGTCAGAATGAACGGTTACAGTTGTTGAGCTGGTAAAGAGATTTCTGGTCTTTTATGCAACATTTGAGTTTATTGTTCAGTATATTAGAGCTGCCCCCTAACCCTGCTCTAAGCCAGCTGAATTCAGTTCACATCCTCACATCTGATTTCTTTAGTGTAATTCTAAATATTCTCGTAAACCTTTTTTTCGATGACAATTCTCAGGTATATAAAAAAAAACACTGTGACTTTGGTCCGCAAGCGACCTATACCGACCGAGCGACTACCGCTTGTTGGCGAAGTTAGTGCCAAATTTAGTGGAAAGAGGGTGTCGCGTGTTCAACGCAACGAATCCCCACGGCCGTTAATTTCGGTTTTCTAGGATGGAGCCGCCACTATTCCATTTAAGTAGCTCCTCAATTATCCTCACGAAGTTTAGTGAACTCTGTTCCAGAACCACTATTTCTCCGAAAATCTGGTAGCGCCGGGAATCAAACCCGGGACCACTGGATCTGTAGCCAGGAACTCTGACAACTAGACCACATAGGCATGAACTTTAAAAGATTTAATACTGGAATAAATGTAATTTATTTTTAGGTTAGACGGCAATGAATCATCCAAAATGGGTTTAAAATATTTGATTATCAAAACAGAGGAACGTAGCTAGAATGAACAAAGTTAAAACGTAAAGATTTCCTTGTGCACCCCGCCAAGGACACATAACGGAAACTCGAGGGATGTCACTTCGGTACTGCGTGTAATGAACCTGTAATTCTACTGCCTTCTCAGAGCATTTTTTGTTATGAAATAAGAGCTTATTGTTGTTATGAATGATGGTGGGTGTATGTACACATTGTTCTTGTTTAGGCGCCGTTCTGTCTGTTTCAGACTTAAGAGCATCTAAAATGAATTTATATTCCACGCCATCATGGAAATCGAAGAAACGTAGGTTTACTATGACCCATAAACTTTACGCTTCTCTCTGTTGATAAGATCGTTTAGAAGGGCACAACACATGGTCCTACGTAATTCAGAATAATTCGGAAACCCATCACCCCTATAAAAATGAATTTTTCAGAATATTCCAAAATTAAGTTCCTGTCGAACGACAGTAACAAACCAGAATGGTACTGAATGTGAGAATAAAAACAGATCAAGTCGGCTTATATGTATGTATTGTCGCGTATCGGGCGTATATCGCGACAAATAACTTCTCGATGTATTTGATGTAGCGAATTTTATTTCACATTCGCACTTACAATCACCCAAATTACAGATTTACGATTACTGCTATCTGCAGTATCACAATTGGTACACTGAAAAATGCCACAATACAACTGACTAGTTGCTGGCTAACTCGGCGGTAGCTCCAGGACTCACTGACTGACTCAGTACAACTCGACTCGGCGACTGTTACAGTACAACTGTGTTAGGCGGCTGCTACAGTAGAACTCGCTGGTAGCCACATTAGAACTGACTGGTACCAGCTGTGCAGCTCACTTATATAGCTGCAGTGCTTGCTTGTTGCGTAATGAGTGCCACGTCATCCTGTTACGTCACCGCTGTTGATTCGCCTTGCATAGTTACCCGGTTACGGGGCTCGGCTATCTTCGGCTCCGCTCGTGACGTCACCGCGCATAGCTGCCAGGATGCGGGGTGATTACTCGCCTATTACGCGAGCGTTACGTTACCGCTGAGGGGTGGGAGGGGAGCGCTGACTCACCCGCCGCGTCACTGCTGGTGTGGGGGGGGGCTCGGCTTTGCGCACATGTCACAATATATATATATATTCAACCATTCTCTGTTTATCTAACGAACCAACAATCATAAGAATAAAATATGTATACCAAGTGTACAATATAACGTAACACTTGATTTCTCGCTGTAAGAGAACATAGATTCAGGACAGTTGAAGTCACAATACTCTGGAAGCTGTCTGCCTGAAGGAAAGGCGAAATATCGAGAGGAGGAACAGAAGTGACGTTTATCGCTGTTCCTAATCTGTACTCTTCGCACAATATTACTCGTATCTGTGAGCCGTCGAGTCCCTTGACCCTGTGGGTCGAGAACCACGCTCTGCTACCACTTAGAGCCGTGTCCCTTGACCCTGTGGGTCGAGAACCCAGTTCTCCTACCCACTTAGACCCGTGAACTCCTGCTCAATATGGGTAAGGGACAGGCTCATAAGACGACTTGCTTGTACGTGATACACTATGCCTCCCCAAGGTCGAGTAGGGGATCTCGGGAGAGGAAAACCACTGTCGGCACTATGGGCCAAGCTGGACGGATCTGCTAGTCTGAACTAGTAGGGAACACACACAACCCAAGTATACACAAATACGACTGGCGTTTCCAACATATAAATAAATGTGTATATTAATAACAAAGGTATACAGGTGTACTCTGCCTGATGGGCAGGCACTGGTCAAAACATAATCAACCGTTTATACAGAATTACTCTGTGGCTAAGCGCACAGACGCAAGCATAGGCACGCCTCATGGCATTGATCAATTTTACTAGGAAAAGATTGTACTCTGGCGAGCCTTCAGGGTACACAAGCCTTAAGGGCACAAAGAAATATACACTCGTATTCACACGCCTGAGGGGCGACCGGCTATTCAAGCCAACTCAACTTCAAATAAATCCATTTACTTACGCCACACGGCGTCGTGATGAAAAGGAAACCAAATACAACAGTAAGTCACTTACTGGCGTTTCCAAATTACAAACACAAGATTAACCTCGCGACTTGATACAACCTTGATCAGGTCGCGAGGGCACTCTTCCCCCTTCAGATACTGCACGGGCCGAAACAGAATTTCACAAACTCAATTCAACCTAAACACAGAATTTAGAAGCAGCGAAGTTACCTGACCGGAGGTATCGGGAAGAGAGAACGATACATTCGTTCTGCTTAACCAGGAAACCTCGCATTGCTTCCAGGAGAGGGGGGGACAAGGTCAACTGACCTGACGTCAGCTAAGACTTTGTGCGGAAAGAAAGGGGAACGGCTCGCAACCTGGCATATCGGGGCGGGGGGACTCCAAGGAACTTCGCAGAGAAGAACCGTTGCACGGTTCATCTGGTCTGTTCAATATGGACACAGACTGACAGTGATTGTATGAACTGCGATATTTCAGTTATTAAAGAAATGGGCTTCTGTCTGGAGGGCTTAGGTTCTATTCCCGATAAGTGCGAGAATTTTCTTTTCGCCACCTCAACCATGACTCTCCCACTCTTCTATCAAATATGACCGAGGGCTCTTCCCTACAGGCAAAGAGCCCGGATCGTGCATCATTTTCACCTGCTTCAGGTGTTCAGAATTCTACGAATTTTGTGATATCTCTTCATGAATATAGGGACAATTAAAATTTGTTCAGTGAATCTGTTACCTGGGGGAACGTGGGACGGGAGACGGAGCAACCTCTGTAGAATTTGGGTTCCCGCGACGCAGTGTAACATCAGGTTACTGACGCTTCAGACAAACGCACTGTCTCCATTTTCAAGGTCGAAGAATAATGCTTGTTGCGTGCTTCTTACTGGTTGCTTTTCTTACTCCCTTACCCTGAAGATGCAGGCATACGTTCCTCCGAAAGGAACTGAAAATTCTATCGGACTAGACGGCATCACATTCCAGAAAACATGACTCCGGCAAAACCGCTGTTCACGCAGCTACTTTTCTGCTTCTGCCCCTCTCTATAAGTGTTTTGCAAGATTGTTGGCAATTTAACGACGCTCACTCAACTATTGATGATTTTCAATATTAATTATATAAGATATATTTATTTACTTATGATTTATTAACGATTCTGTCAGTATGTCAGGTTACATAACTACGAATTGTAGATGATTAGTTAATGATGAATGAATTTGGAGTAAGAGATCATAGTAGTTCAGGTACTTGCTTGGAGGGACTGAGAAAACCACTAAAATCCTCAGTTTGGAATGTTGGTGACCCAACAAGGATTCAAAGAAAACACCTCCCTAATATCT